TATATATATATATATAGAGAGAGAGAGAGAGAGAGAGAGAGAGAGAGAGAGAGAGAGAGAGAGAGAGAAATTTTCCTGTGCGAATGAGTTTTCGCACAGCACTGTGCGAAAACAAGTCTGGGCCCTTGGATTTAATGAGCGGTGCTGATGAAAGCTGAACCCACTTCTATCTCGTGACCGCAGAACCCAAGAAAATCTCGTGACCGCTGCTTCTCCTCAAACCTTCGTCTCTCTCTCACCTCAAATCCTCCTCCCTCTCTCTCCTCAAACCCTCCTCCCTCTCTCTCCCTCGTGGAACCCTCAAGCTCGTGAAACCTAAGCACCGCCGCTGGGGTTACCCGACAACTCCTCAAACCTGTCTCTCCCTCTCTTACTCGTGACCCCAAGCACCGCCGCCGACCAACTTCGATCGTCGCCAGAAGCAGATCGCCAACCAAACTCTGACTCCGACCTCCTCCTCCAACTCCAGATCTTAAGGGAGCTTGAATCAAAATTGTCTGTAGGTAAAATTTTAATTTTAATTTTTAAGATTGAGGGTTCTTGTTGTTTAATGAGTTATACATGATTAGGATGGTTGATGCTTGTTGGATTTTAGTCAAAATTGCTTGTTGGATTTTTTTGGTTTGCGCGGAGCATTTGATTTGTAAATGTTGCCTCCTTACTGAAGATGGGAAGAGGACTTGAGCAAAAATTCCATCTAGAAATTCCTGATCCTGCTTGCTGAGGGCACAATTACTGCTCTACGGTCTTAATTAAACTCAAAGAGATGTATTTTTTATTTTTCTCCGGACTGTAGTTTTTTCTCATAATCTATAAAAATGATATGCTTTGGAAAGATGGGTCTTCTAAATAATTGTTGGATTTAGGGTTTTATTCTCGATTAAAAATTGCGAAGATGGGTCTTCTAAATAATTGTGAATATGGGTTATTGAGGCGATTTAGGGTTTCGTTATTGGTCTGTTTTTTTGAAGATGGGTCTTCTAAATAATTGTGAAGATGGGTTTTCTAAGTAATTGTGAAGATAGTTCTGGAGATTACTTCAATATTTGCTTCAAATTTCAGCATTTGCTTCAAATTTCTGAAAGTCACATTTGCTTCAAATTTCAGCATGGTAGTCAGGAAAATCTTCGAATCCTATTTTACTGCAAGTGTCACATTTGCTTCAAATTTCAGCATGGTTGCATCTACTGCCTGATACCATGACGTGCAAGGTCTCCTCTTGTAGTTAGGTTCAAACTATTTCAATTTGCCCTCTTGATCATGACTAAATTTGGTTTCATGATAAAGTTGTATATTTTGGTACGTGGAGTCATCTTCAAGCACTTGTCATGAATTGATGTGCCATTATGGAAGGAGGGCTATACTCTCCAGATCTGGAACTAAGACGAACCCTGGTCGATTATTTTTAGGATGTGCTAATTGGAAAGTGAGTAATTGTGGATTCTTCAAATGGGTGTCTGATGAAGAGGAGTTTGAAGGTTCAAAGGCAAGGCTTGTTCAAAAGAAGCAGTCGAGCATGATCCCGTAAGTTTCAAGTGTCGTGTCAATTGGAGAAGTTCGGGAAAAGAGAAAGATTGAAATTGATATTATGGAATTGTTGAAGCTTGTTGTATTTGTTCTTTTATTCGGTATTTTTCTAGGATTTGTATTTGGTATTTTTATTGGATTTGTGCTAAGTAGGGTATAAGAATGTATTATTGGATGAGTAAGATTTGTATTTGATATGATAAATTTGGTCTTTTATTGGATTTGTGCTAAGTAGGGTGTAAGAATGTATTATTGTATTTGTACCAAGTTGATAACTACAGCAAGTTGATAACTAGCAAGTTGATATACACCAAGTTGATAACTACAGCAAGTTGATAACTACAGCTATAATCGTTGGCTACATTGTCTACATTGACTTCATGAACAACATTGATATACACCAATTTGCTAACTACCAAAAAGTCACGAACATGCATATTTGTATTTGATATTGATTGCTGGCAGCTATAATCCATCCATTTGTGGAACACATTGCATATTACATGAACAACATTGGATAACTAGCAAGTTGATATACACCAAGTTGATAACTATAACAAGTTGATAACTCGCAAGTTGGATATACACCAAGTTGATAACTACAGCAAGTTGATAACTCTAGCAAACAATCCCCAACAAGTTGATAACTGCAACAAACAATCCCCAACGAGTAAACAGTCACTTCAAAAGATTTATAGCTACAGTAAGTTGATAACTAGCAAGTTGATAACTACAGCAAACAATCCCCAACGAGTAAATAAACTCACAGCAATAAATTATCATAAGAGTCAATAAATTCTCCTAACTAAACTCGCAGCAATGATGTCTCAATCCCCAACGAGTAAACAGTCACTTCAAAAGTTTTATAGCTACACCAAGAGTAAACACCAGCAGAGCTCGAACATTATTCAACGAGTCCTTTCTCTCGCCAAGGCAGCAAACAATCCCCAACGATGTCTTGTCCTTGAATTTTACTCCGCCAACCTTGATCAAACTTCACGCAATAGTGAGAACTTCATCTGTATTAAAAACATTAAGAACAAAGTGTTCCATCATATTAAAAAATCATATTATATTAAAAAATAGCAATGTACAAGTTATTCCGTATGCATTAACCATTACCTTCCTCAAAGGAATCTTCTAAATCATCAGTGGCTTCATCAATATTATCTTGTTCCATTGAATCACTAAAAAAAGTTGATGATAGCAAAACACATTAAAGATCATTGCATGGTTGCACCAACTTTAAAAAAAGCTTAAAAAATAATAGCATTAGTATTACTAAAAAAAATAATACACTACCTCGACAACTTTAGAGGGCAATTTCTACTATCATGATTTTGTCGTCGCTTTCCACACAATTTGCATTTCCTAGACCGGTATTTGCGGATCTCTCTCAATGGCTTTAACCTCTTCCCTTTAGTCCTTCCTTTTGTTCTTGCTTGACTTGGTTCATGAACTATATCTTGAGAACACTCCGCATTACTACATTGTGCTTCTACATCTTGTCCAATTTCTTCATCATTGATGAGTTTCAAACGTTGCACCTTATTAATAGCGTCCATCATCATTTCATGCATTAATTCATATGCGTCATTAGAAGATAGCCCCTCTTCAACCATTTCATTAGCTAAGCAATTTAGTTCACTAAAGCGAGAAGCAAAATTAATTATGGCATTATCTCCAATAATATTACCATCTCTAAGAACAACCATTTTTCTGACATTTCGGCACCATCTTCTTAGAATATATTGCTCCGGTAACTCACTATGATTGGTAATTTTAAGATATGCTAAGATATGTCAGCATAGAATTCCCTTGAATTCAAACATGAGACACGAACAACGGACCATTTTAGTTATTTTGCAATATATAATATGTCTTAATCTTTCATCATGACCACAAAAATTCAATTGGAATGTACTTTCTCTTTCATTTTCTTTTACCAGCTCAATGTTATACATTAAGCTAGGTTGAAGCTCGTCTTGAAAAATATAAAAGATTTTTTTTCGTAAAGATTTTGGCCATTTGTTTTTCCATTGACCACTAAGTCTTCAAATTTGGCTTTTTCTCCACTGTGCATTGATCTTCTTTAAGCTCCCCCTCTCTTTGTCTCGCCAAGAGCCTTTGAAAGATGGTCACGAAATCATGAAGTAAATTTTTTCTTGATACATGCATTTTTAGCAATGCATTCATCCCTTCACTTCTTTGACTGCTAGACATTCCAGCCCAAAAGTGTGGTTTATGATAAACCGGAGCCTATTTTTCACGAATTTCATAGATATCATTTAGCCAATCATGCGCTTCCAATCCATTTTTTTAAGAATTGAAACCCAATTCTCTTCAAAAAAGCTAGCAGCCTCGGAGTCCCAAATATTTTCTTTGAAAGATTTCATAAATTCCGTTCTATAAGCCCATTTACCCAACTTCTCCGGAACTTTGTCCAAGATATGCCAAATGCAAAACATGTGCCGAATTTCTAGAAAAACTGTTTCAATTGCCTTGCATATGCCAAGACATTGATCTGTAATCATGCCTGAAGGAGGATGACCCATTGCTTCAATCCATTTGTTAAAAAACCATACGAAAGACTTTGCCTCTTCGTTTGGGATCAAGCCACATCCAAAAAAAATACTTTGCCAATGGTGATTTACTCCTACAAACGGCATAAATACCAAGCCATATTGATTTGTGTTATGCGTGGCATCGAAGGAGACAACATCGCCAAAGTGTTGATAATTCATTCGAGCAATGCCATCCGCCCAAAAATAGTGAGTTAAGCGCTTCTCTTCATCAACTTCGTAAACATAATAAAATGAAGGATTCTTCTCTTGTTCCGACTTGAAATGATCCAACATCATTTGTGCATCATGACCGCGCCTCTCCTCTCTCAAATCTCTTTCATAATTTTTCACATCGGTCTCAATGCATCCAATTCTATGAAAACCTCCGCTAGAGTTTTCAAAGAAGGCCATTTGCTTGTTTGTTAGAATGTTCACCTCTCCAAACTGCTTTATCAATGTCTTATTCGCACTTGTTACCTCACGATTTCCCCTTAGAAAATGAGTTCTACTCGTTGAAGTAATTGTATGATTATGTTCTTCCACGAACTTGTAGACACTTCATATGCCAATGTTTTTGTCTAATTTCAAGCGAATCAAGGCCTTACAATTTGTTCTAATTGTACCACATCGTCGAATTTCCAACGATTTGCTCTTTAACACTCCTTCCTTCGAACAAACATAACTTTTGAAAATTAACTCTCTATCTTTCCCATAATTTGTTGTGCTATTACGGATATCAAAACCTCCGACCTTTCCGTAATTTCTGTAGAATTTTTTAGCTTCTTCTAAATTGCCGAAAGTCATTCCTATTTTTGGTTTTAAGTGCTCATCAACAATTGGCACAACTAAGTTATCTAACTGAGAGATTTTTTCATCAACAACATGGGAGCAACCATCTTCAGTTTCCATTGGATCAAACATCAAGAATAATTTTTACCTACAAAAATAAACATCAAGAACAAACCATCAAAGACCACTGTGCAAAAAAATAAACACTATTCTAACTTGAATATGATAGATATGTTATGCAAATTAGCAAAAAATGTCAATTAAGGCTTCTACTTGAAAGGTCAATGAATAATCCAACTTGAATTTATATTTTATCGCCTAATCAACCATGGACGTAGGATCTAATTTAGAAAGCAACAACTTGTCGGGGTAAAATAAATATGCTGTTAAACGCAATCCACACATTCATAAACAAGGCAATCACCTAAACTATCAAAAATGAAAGCACAGGCATGATATAACCAAACTCGGCCAAAAAATCAGGAACTAAGGGAGAATGTAGAACCTCAGCCAAACCAACACATCAAGAACAAACATCCAGAATTGTGACTAAAATCCAACAAACTCGGCTTTAGAGAGGAACATCAAAAATGAAAGCACAGACATGATATAATCAAAAATGAGAGCACAGGAAAATTTCATCTATTGATGATAGTAACAGTGATCAATCACCATGCTTGTATAAATCACCTAACATATAGATTCCTATCCACGTTACACACCTCTTCTTACATCAAACCCATAACAAGTCCAAACTTCAAAAAAACTGGATTCATGAAAGGAAAGCTGTAATTTACTACTTATTTCTCACTGTATCACCTCTTTCCAAAGCCTATCATTTTTATAGATTATGAGAAAAAACTACAGTCTGGAGAAAAATAAAAAATACATCTCTTTGAGTTTAATTAAGACCGTAGAGCAGTAATTGTGCCCTCAGCAAGCAGGATCAGGAAATTCTAGATGGAATTTTTGCTCAAGTCCTCTTCCCATCTTCAGTAAGGAGGCACCATTTACAAATCAAATGCTCCGCGCAAACCAAAAAAATCCAACAAGCAATTTTGACTAAAATCCAACAAGCATTAACCATCTTAATCATGTATAACTCATTAAACAACAAGAACCCTCAATCTTAAAAATTAAATTTAAAATTTTACCCACAGACAATTTTGATTCAAGCTCCCTTTGGATCTGGAGTTGGAGGAGGAGGTCGGAGTCAGAGTTTGGTCAGCGATCTGCTTCTGGCGACGATCGGAGTTGGTCGGCGGCGGTGCTTGGGGTCATAAGCAAGAGAGGGAGAGGCGAGTTTGAGGAGTTGTCGGGTAACCCCAGCGACGATGCTTGGGTTTCACAAGCTTGAGGGTTCCACGAGGGAGAGAGAGGGAGGAGGGTTTGAGGAGAGAGAGGGAGGAGGATTTGAGGTGAGAGAGAGACGAAGGTTTGAGGAGAAGCAGCGGTCACGAGATTTTTTTGGGTTCTGCGGTCATGAGATAGAAGTGGGTTCAGCTTTCATGAGCACCGCTCATTAAATCCAAGGGCCCAGACTTGTTTTCGCACAGTGCTGTGCGAAAACTCATTCGCACAGGAAAATTTCTCTCTCTATACACACACACACACACACACACACACACACACACACACACACACACACACACACACACACACACACACACACACACACACACACACACACACACACACACACACACACACACACACACACACACACACACACACACACACACACACACACACACACACACACACACACACACACACACACACACACACACACACACACACACACACACACACACACACACACACACACACACACACACACACACACACACACACACACACACACACACACACACACACACACACACACACACACACACACACACACACACACACACACACACACACACACACACACACACACACACACACACACACACACACACACACACACACACACACACACACACACACACACACACACACACACACACACACACACACACACACACACACACACACACACACACACACACACACACACACACACACACACACACACACACACACACACACACACACACACACACACACACACACACACACACACACACACACACACACACACACACACACACACACACACACACACACACACACACACACACACACAATGGGCAGTTCAAAGTCAACTCGACGACATGAGCCAAAATTAATTCACCAGTTTTGATTCAAGATTTTGACGACGGCCAGACGATAAACGCAGCACCGGAAGAACTTCAGTTATTCGTCAAAATATTGAATAGACTAAAAATCAAAGAAGTCAAAGATCGAGACACCCCAAGTGTCTCGGCCATGGCCGAGACACTACGGGTGTCCGCAGACCAAAAAACACAGTTTTGAGCCATTTTCAACCGTTAACCATCTGGATTTGTTCCAACTAATCTAATATTATCCAAGAACGTGATAAAATGGTTATAATTAAGGATAAGATCGAATCGGTCGTTCTTATGTGAAAACGAAGGTCCCGAAGCCTATAAATACAGCCTTTGGGCCTTCATTTGCACAGATCTGGAACTCTCGAGTCTTGGCGAAGCCCTGCTGAATCAGAGACTGAGGAGCACGAATTTTAGAGAGGAGGAGGAGATCGGATCAAGTTCTTCGATATAAGGAAGAGGAGTTCGTCAGATCCATAGCCCAGTTCCTTCCCTTAAGATCGTACCTAGCTGTGATCTCGAGAAGAGTGGTTATCTCGTTGTTGCTGAGATAATTACTTCGGTTTCTTGATTCCTTCACGAATCAACGAAACTCCAGATTGATCTGGTCGCTTGGTAGTCCACGGATATTAACGTCCCCGACACATGAAAAGATTCCACGTAAACAGCGGGTGATAAATGTATGTTGTGTTTATTTTGACGAGAGTTGTAATTTTTTATTTTTATTGTGTAAGAGTCTTATAAAAAGATTATCTTTTTGTTTTCATTGCAATGACTAAAGTTGTAATGAATACCTCAATGAAGATGTTAACTTTCACACCAAACAAGCTGGCGATCACAGTGGGAGCCAACAGCCTAACTGCGAAGGCTGTCATGCCACGGCTGATGATCAACATCCCCGTGGCTGAAGAGGTCGAATACGAGTTTAACCAACAGAAGTTCAAGGAGTACGTCTCCTCCTCCTCCTCTAGATCCACCTCACCTCGCAAATGCAAGAAGGTCTCCTCCTCCCAGAAGATCCGTTGGTCTTCAGACTTGAAGAGCCAATAAGGCGATCTCCCCGCTGCCTTAGCACCTCGTAACAATCTACCGACGTCCGATGAAGCCAAAGCCGCAGATCTGGACACCGCCTCCATTAAGGAGTTGATTGCTGAAGGCGCGCCAACTTTATCAAAGAAAGCTCGTCAGAGATGCTGCCAACGTCTCACCCGCCAATTTGCTAAGGTTTTGGAGTAAGTGGATAGGCTTCGCTACCAAGTAGATCTGAAGTCCAGAAGACGCAAAGTGGCTAAACGATCGCCACAACAAGCTTCAGGATTCTTCTCCAAATCATCTAATAATGAATGAATTCGTGTCAAACAGAACCGTTCCACTCTGGAGGAGCACATTCAGAAGTGCCGCGCACTTCTTGTACATGCCTGGATCCTTGTGCAAAAGGCACAAGAAATGCAGAAAGAAGAGGCGGTTAAGAAATCACCCAAGTATAAACGTATTTGGATGCTAAAGGTCAAATCAACGCCTAAGGCAAAAGCAGACGAAGTTACTATCCAGCCTTCGTCAACTTCAGATCCCTCTCCCTCTACTCCCGCACATCTAGCGAAGGCCTACGGCAGCATGGGTCTCTCCAAATTCAGAATTCCATTGAAGGATCGCATGAGTCCTCTACACGAAGATCGAGCCAAAACTCCTGTCAAAGAATACTTGGGACAGATGAACAAATCCCGAGCGACTCTTTAGGCTGGGGGTCGTAGACACCCTCCCAACAATCCAATTCTTGTAATCGTCCACTTGGGGGTGCATACAGAAGGCCAGGAGCCCGTTAGGGTTTCACCCTCACAAAGGTGTGATTCTAAATATGTGACTCCTGCAAACGCCAACAAGGCGTTGCTTATTTAGAAGAAAATGTGTCTGGCAGAAGATGACGTTACACCTAATAAATAGCTAATAGGTTGTTCTGGCCACAACGCTGATGAGTTGTACTATCAGGCTGGGGGTAAGTCTCGAGAGAGAAATACCCCAAAAATAGACTCTCACTGCCCTTGTGAGAGGTCAATCAGAGCAGTGTTATCAGAATGTAGCTGCCCCAAGTCCATTCCACAGAGAGTCTCGGTATTCGAAAGGATCTATACTAAAGCATCGAAGTCCAAATCAAGGTGTTTCCACAAAAGAGGATCGGTCATTCGAGATGACAAACTCCCAGAAGTTACCATCAACATGGTCAATAAGGGAAAGTCTCCGATTGCTTCAAGTGGTTCTAGTCCCGACTTTTCTCCAAGAAGAAGAGTCAATTCGGGAATAGCCCAACTAATGTCTCGACTCCAGCTAGAAGCTGTCGGACCTAAAAAATCCGTAGTCACGATTAACATGGCTGATAAGGAAAAGTTAACCCGATCTTCTAGTTCAGACCCCCTCATATCGCATCGTCTAACTCGACTACGCGCAGGGACTACTAGACATAGGGACTATCAGAGGATGAATAGAGGATTATCCTTGGATAATAAAGTATCAGATGCTAACTCTACAGTCGCTTCTGACAATACGGTATCTAGCGCAGGACAATCCCGTGATGCATTTATGATCAACACCGAGAAAATGACCAAAATCCTTGAAGATGCCTGGCTAAGCAAAAAAAGAATTTTAAATTTAAAATAAAAATGGCTATGCAGCAGATGAGGGAAACGTATGACTAACAGATCCGGGCTTTGTCTAATCAGATTGGTGAAACTAGTCATCACAACAATACCTACCGATCAGGTGGCAATTCATATGTGGACGAACACCTTAATGCTGATAACCATCCCATTGATCAAAACACTGGGGGTGGCCCCACTAAAGACAACAATGTTGGGGGTGGTCCTACCGAAGATGATAATGTCGGGGGTGGCCGCGTTGTTCCTCTCAGAAATCGTCCAAAGCATGATACAGATGAGGATGAAAAGATGAGAGACCTCGAGAGAAAAATCAACGCTTTGATGTCTGCTCGAGAGGTGAAGAAGACCGGTACTTCGTATCCTTACCCAAGAAAGTAGGAGTCGATCCCGTACCCGGTAAAGTTTAATCTGATCAACTTCATGCTGTTTGACGGGAAGGGCTCGTCCACTTAACATCTGATCTACTTCAAGTCCTACTTGGGGATGATTTCTAGTAATGAAGCCTTGATGGTTCGGTAGTTCGTGGGCATCCTTTATGGGGCTGCCTTCGATTGGTACCGCCATCTTAAGCCTGGAAGTGTCAACATCTGGGATGATATGAAAAGCTCATTTTTTTTATAATTTCTTTGATGATGACACCAAGGTATCAATCAGGAAGCTCTTTGAGGAGAAACAGGAAGACGAAGAGACATCGACGATTTCGTCAAGCGCTTCCGAAATAAAGCGATGAATTACCGAGATCCAATCATAGGGGACTTCATCCTCGAAACCTGTCATAACAATCTGTCCATTGATATCTTATAAGTTATGGGAGTAGCACCATCCAAGACTTGGAGAGAGTTGAAGGTGCATGGAGAGCAGGCCGAAGGCTTCCTCAAAAGGAAGAAAGCTGAGAGAAGCCAACCAACGGCTAACCCTTCAAAATCAAACTTCGCCTCCCGTGGAAAGGAGAAGGCACATGCACCAGCTGTTGATGTTAATCAGATGTCACAGCAACAACCCGAGAGACAACAAAAGACTTCGGATCCAACACTCTAAAAAGAGCACTCCTTCAAGGACGAAGACGTTCTAGCCATTTTTGAATCCCTCCTCGAAAACAACAAGATTAAGCTGTCACCTAACACAAATCAGAAGGAAGCTAATAATACTTCGGATCCAAAGTACTGTGCGTACCATTGGAGAATCCTTCATCCCACTAAGGCTTGTTTCTCCCTCAAGAATAACATCCAAATCTTGGTTGAAGCTAGCGTCATAACGATAAATTAATCCGAATTAAGACTCCGAAGAGTATACGAGTATAAACTGCTTCTTAATCCTCCATCAAGTGTATGAGGTAAAGCTGCTCCCTGCATACTCTAATAAGTATATGAGTCTAAACTGTTTCCTACCTTTGACGAAAAGTTCCTGGAGAATCTTATATTCTTAAGGATAACCCGAACGTACGATTGAGGACAATGTGTTCCTCATTAGACCCAATTTCGCAAAGAAAGCTGGGGGTGGATAATTCATGTAATGAGAGTTTCCGGAAGAATATTACATATAATATTCTTAGGGATAACCCGACCATTACAAACAAA